TGGCGAGGTCCTGCCCAAGTTCATCAACCTCACCGACGCTTCTATTAAGATGGTGCGTCATCGGGATGCACGGCCAACGCCCTCCAGCCGCACACTCCTGATTGGTACCTGGAAGTACTCCCAAGGCTGACTAGGCGCACAGATCGAGTCTCTTCCCACAAGGACGAGCGACGAGCAACCTTTGCAGAACATCCTCAGTATTTCCACTGCCGGCAGGAACCGGTACCTTCTCCACTTCAACTCACACCACTCGCTGATTCAATGGACGGCCGGTATCCGCCTCGCCATGTTCGAGCACTCGACGCTGCAGGAGGCCTACACTGGTGCCCTCATTGCCGGCAAAGGCAAGACGCTCAACAACATCAACATTGTCATGGAACGATCGAAATTCAAGACGGAGGAATGGGTGCGAGTTCGTTTTGGCGCAGGCGTGCCCTGGAGACGTTGCTGGTGCGTCATCTCGCCGCCAGACGAGAAGGAGTACCAAAAGGCGCAGAAGGAGATGAAGAAAAAGTCACCCTACGAGCGTTCCGGACCGCCCGTCCTCAAGGGAGACATCAAGTTCTATGACACCAAGGTCGAGGGTAAAAAGCAGAAGAAGGCCAAGCCGATTGCCTCCATCTCCGATTCATACTCTGCCTACGCCATCTATCCCCAGGCCAAGTCGCTCATTGATGCCTCGACGCTTCTGAAGATTGAGGGCAACATTACGATTCACTCCGACCCGCCCTCGTCTACCGAAGGTTTCGTCTTCATCATGCCCGAGGTGCATCCCATGGTCAGTGGCTTCGAGATGCTGCTTCGCTTCCTGTTCCCCACGTGGGATACATTCGCCCTCTACGGTCGCCCAGGCAGGCTGGTTGCTAGCGTGCTAGACCCCAGATCGCTCATGTTCGCCATGCCAAAGCACCGCCGATACGGCTATCTCGAGATCCTGGACGTCACCGGCCTCATTCTCAAGGATGGCAGCTCTGGATGGTCAGAGAGCCAGTGGCGCAAGCAGCTCAAGGAACTTACCGGAACACGCATGAACACGATTGAAGATACCCCGTCCCCTCGCGGCCACAGCCGTGCTGGCAGCCGAAGAAGCAACCGTCTGAGTGGGGGTGTGCCTCAGCCGAGAGCCCGCGTTGGATTCGCGGATGACTCCGCCATCACGAACCGTGTCTCTCGATCTCTCTCTCTGACAGGGGCTCCTCGTACAGATTCCGCGCCTCCCCAGGTCAGCGGGCCTCACGCGCCAGATCCTTTCCGCCAGGAGCCTCAGGGTGGTCCTTACCAGGCACCGCCGCCTGCTTCCCGTGGCATCATGCAGGGCCGAACCGGCACCCAGGATGGACAGAGCTCGGATGATGAGCAGTTTGCACGCAACATACCACCCGGAACTCTGGACGGGGTGAGAAACCTTCAGACCCCGGAGCCCGTCTCACGACCTCCTGCATTCAACCACGGACCTCAATCAAGGCCTCTCAGCAAACCGTACCACTCACCGGAGCTTAGAAGGGCCAACAGCCGTCTCTCGAACACGACACTATCACAACTAGCCAAGGCCGGCGGCGTTTCAATCCCAACGGGCGGTCATCCTGGCCCGTACCCCGACCCCAGAAGCGGTGAGAACCACGCTGCTGCGGCGCAACCATCGGTACATCCTGACGCCAACATCATGGGAGCCTATGCTAACGACAGCGGGTCTCGCGAAGCTATGACATCGCCCAACAATTTTCAGCCTTCCCAGGGAGGTCTCCCTCCTCCAATCCCGCCCCTGAACCAGAAGAGATCCCGGTCTCCGATGGCGCAACAGCCTTTTGGTGGTCCTCCTCCGAGCCCCGGTCCTCGCAGCCCTCTGCCTCCCAACCCCCCTTATGGTGGCCGAGGTGGCCCGGATCAGCAGAACCGCATGCCCCCGCCCATTCGCCCTCCCCAGGCTCCCTACAACAACTTCTCGCGACCCGACGGAGCGCGAAGCCCTACAGTTGGCGGGCCAGGTCACACGCAGAATCTCGACATCAGGGGTCTCGGCTATGGCCAGACCCCGCCTCTCACCCCCAACTCACCCCGAGTCCCGCCCCAGTATCAGGATCAGCGTCCCCGCACCCCCAACGACCAAGGCGGTCGAAGTCCTATGCCCAATGTGGAGAGATCCCCTCCGATCCACCGCAAACCGATTGCCAACCGATCCGACAGTCTGCGGCAACAGGAGCACCCCAGCATGGTTCCGGGTGGCGCGTCCGGACCCATGATGCACATGGGCGGTCCTGGGCCTGCACAGCCTACGGAGTCTGGCCGAAAGCGAACCCCTCAGCCCGACCAGCAGCTTCAGCGGCAGTACAGTGAGCGCAGTGCAGCCAGCAGTCACTACGACGATGCCTCCGTCACGAGCCCCGATTACGCCAGCGGGCGCAAGTCCAGCGACACGCAGGCTTCTGTCGATCGTCCTCGTGCTGGTGTCCTTCGAACGACAGGCGGAGAGCCCCCCATGCCCGACATGCCTCACCCTCAAGGATTCGATATCCCTGACATCAACTTTGGGCCGACAATCAACTACGGCGCGAGCCCTCGCAAGAAGACCCCCACGCCCATCAACCCTGGAATGCAACGCCCATACTCGCCTGCTCTGCGATCTCCCGCTGTAGCGTCCCACGAGCATGGCGATGCGCCCCCACCTCGCCAGGTTCCATGGCAGCCGAGCGTCAGTGGCAGTGCTGGTAATGGATCAGGCCTCAGCGCAGAGCAGTATGTTCAGCAGCGGGCTGCCCAGGCCGGGCATGTTCGGACGCCTTCCAACCCGGCACTGAACAACATGCGTGCCAAGACGCCGTCTCCTTCGATGGGTCGTCGGTCGTCGCAAGAACTGCTCAACCAACACCACAGGAACAACAGCTCGGGAGATCTCATGGCGCGACCCAGCTCTCGAGGCGCGAACCACGCTCTCGATGTGGGCAGTTCAGGTGAAATGGCGTCCCAGCTGTCTGCTCGGGACCAGGAGCAGGTGGCTCGCATGACAGGGGCACCATTGCTTGGCATGGGTGGTGGTAACAGACCGCAGCAGCAGCAGCAACAGGCTATCGGAGGCGGTTTGGTTGGTGCCATTGACGCCCGTGAACGCGAGAAGCAGCAGATGAAACAGGGCATGAACAACCATGCCGTCCATCATGCCATGCAGCAGCAGCAGCGACAACAATACCAGCAGCAGCAGCAGCAGCAATTTCAACCGCAGATGCATCAGCCTATGTATGGTCAACAGGGCATGTACCCGCCCCAGAACATGGGACGTGGTGGCAACTACGGACCACCCCGTCCACAGCAGGGTCCCGGACCCTACGGCGGACCTATGTCGCAGCAACAGGGTGGGGCCTACCGACCTGGTCCTGGGCCGGGGCCGGGGCCGGGGCCGATGCCTATGCGCCAGGGCCCGCCTCCTCCCGGCGACTTCATGCCGCCGCAGGGCCCGTACGCCGCTGGGGGTCGTCCTCAGTCGCCTGGTGGCCAGTATGGGCGCGGTCAGCAGGGAATGCGACCCCCGAACCAAGGCCACGCCCTCTGAGGGTGTAGAGAGGCACCTGATCTGGGATGAATGAAAGAGAAGGCGAAGAGAGCGATATTTTCCTTGTATTCGATTGGCAGATAGGCGTTGGGGGCATGGCCGGCTTGGGGTTCGGCCTGGAAAGGCATCAACACATGAGGCACCATGCGCACCGGCACAGGATACACGCTTTGCGTATAGTAGTAGCCGGAATGTTTAAATAGCTTGACGAGTTGAATGACATGACATTTCGGTACTTGTTCTCGACGACGTTCATGAACCTCGTGACTCGTGACAAGGGCAACGGACGGGTGATCAACATGCAAAAGGATGGATAGACAACCGGCCAAGGACGATTGCCATGGGAAGGCACACATCTGAATCAGCCCTATCATCGTCACAGCCCTGAGGACAGGTCGACATGTCAACGAAGGGTCCCGATCGGGGCTGCAGGTCCTGTGAGGTGGTGTCGTGGGGAGGCAGGTACATGCCCGTCCGAGAAGGGTGGGACGGACATTTGCAAGGACTTTGTTCAAGATATAGGTACCTACAGGTAGGTGATTTTATAGAGTTGCCAAGCTTGGGAGGCTTTAGGGGTGATCATTGGGTTTGTCACTCTGAATACAGTGCCAAATTCATCAGGCACTTGGCATCAGCTGGGGGGCTTCAGGTACTGTTCTCCAGGCCGGATACCTAGGTCATCAGGTAAAGTACTCGAGGTGCCCCCCCTGTCCGCGTGCCCCCACTCCGCCCCCTTCAGCTGCGCGAAATGGTCATGACTGTTCCCCGCGTATGTGTATAA